GAAAAAAAAAAAAAAAAAAAATTAGGAGGAAGCATGTGCTGCAACACAGGCAGAAGGCTGGATTCTACCCTAGCTGTGCAAGCAGTGTGACTATGGACCACTCACTCACCTCTGCCAGGGGCTGGGGGTGGGGTGAGTAGGAAGCAGGGAGGCTACTGTTTAATGTGTGTAGAGTTTCCGTTTTACAAGATGAAAAGACTTACGGAGATAAAAACAAAAACAACAAAAATGGGGGACTTCCCTGGTGGCACAGTGGTTAAGAATCCGCCTGCCAGTGGACACGGGTTTGATCCCTGGTCTGGGAAGATTCCACATGCCGCGGAGCAGCTAAGCCGCACGCCAAAACTACTGAAGCCCCCGTGCATGCGTAGAGCCCGTGCTCTGCAACAAGAGAATCCACCTCAGTGAGAAGCCCGCACACCTTAACGAAGAGTAGCCCCCGCTCGCAGCAACTAGAGAAAGCCCATGTGCGGCAACAAAGACCCAACTCAGCCAAAAAAAAAAAAAACTCCATTCCTGTCATCTCTAGGACAAACAAAACCCCTTGGTCTGATGTTCCAGGTCCTTCATGATGCTCCCCGCCCCCTTCCATTGCTGCTTTTATCACACTCTGGCTCAATAACAGCAATAATGCCACTCATTTATTGAGCGCTCACTATGGGCCAGGCAATGTGCCAAACACTTGACCTGCATCTCATTGAATCCCCAAGCAGCCCTGTGAAGTGGCTGGTCAGCTAGCAAGTGGTGGGGCTGGGGTTTGAATCCAGGCAGCCTGGCTGTGGACCCCATCCTTGTCATTACTATGACTCTGCCCGCCCCCCCCCCAGAAAAAAATGAAGAGATTGCCTGACACAACCAATACTCCTGCTTAGATGTAATTGTTACTCTTGTATTTATTTTTTTATTTTACTTTTTACTTTTTACTTTTATTTTTGGTTGCGTTCGATCTTCGCTGCTGCACTCAGGGTTTCTCTAGTTGTGGCGAGCGGAGGTTACTCTTCGTTGTGGTGCGTGGGTTTCTCATTGCAGTGGCTTCTCTTGTTGCGGAGCACAGGCTCTAAGCGCACAGGCTTCAGTAGTTGTGGTATGTGGGCTCAGTAGTTGTGGCATGTGGGCTTAGTTGCTCCGTGACATGTGGGATCTTCCTGGACCAGGGATCGAACCCGTGTCCCCTGCATTGGCAGGTGGATCCTTAACCATTGCACCACCAGGGAAGTTCCATACTCTTGTATTTAAATCATATGAAATTTTGTGTGCCCCATCAGAGTCCTACAGCTCTGAGTTTGAATCCTGGCTATGACTGTGGAAGTGTCAGAACTGGGTGGCTGCTGCCATATGAGGACAGAAGGTGGGGAGCATGAAGCAAGGCCCCTGACAGGTACACATGAGGGACAGTGCTCCCAGCCTCTGGTCAACACTGGCTGGCCATCCAGCTCGGTGCTTCCTGCAGTGAGGGGTGGTTTCTCCCTCTCAGAGCCTCAGTTTCCCCAGGTACACAGCCAGGGTGGAGCAGTCTGAGCTACTTGACCTCTTTCATATCACAACCCCCCTTTGACAATTTAATGAAAGATACAAACCCTAGAAAAATGCGTAGAGATGAAAAAATTGCATACACTTTGGGCGGGTCACGGACCCCACCCAGAATCCATAAACTCCAGGTGCAGCTGTTGGGAGGCAGTGTGAGGCACTGTTCAGGCCCCTGGGCTCTGGAGGCAGAGAGTCCTGGGTTCAGATTCTGGCTCCCCCAGGCACTAGCTCTGTGACCTCAGTCCTCTTAACAAAGTAGGTAATTACATTCATCTCACATGCTGTTGTGAGAACCAACTGAGACACTGCAGGAAAGGCTTCAGCCAGGCCCAGCACCATGGTGAGCAATCACAAAGGGACTCCCAATATTTAAGGAAATATTTCTCCAAGGGTGACACATGGACCACCTGGATCAGAATCCCATGGGGGGACTTGTTTAAAATGCACGTTCCTGGACTTCTTGCCCAGAAAATCTGATTCTCCAGGTCTGGGATGGCGGCTAGGAGTATGCATTTTAACCCAGTCTCTGCCTCCCAATTCTACTGGGAGTTAGTCTGAGAAGCACTATGCTTTTCCCACCTCTACAGTCCAGGTTCTGGAAAGAGACTAAGTTTCCGGTAGGCTGGGAAGAGCAGAAAACAGGTGCAGGGACGGTGCAAGGGACGCCTCTGAGCGCCCTTCCGGGGCCCCCCCTCCAGGGATGAGCAGAACCCCACCCCGTACCCTTCAGTGGTTCTTGGTGGTGCCTCTAGCTGCCCCCTACGTGAGGACCGACGCCCTCCAGACCAGGCGACACGGGGAGGGGCGACAGGGCCTCTGGGGAGCAGAAAGGAAAGTGAAACCTCCCGCCCAACCTTTGGCTTTCGCCGCCTCCGCTCGCCGTCCAGGTGGCCCCCGCGATCCCCTGTCGCCCTGGGGTCCGGCCGCCGCGCTCCCCAGACCTGGTCCCCGGAGCACTGTGTCCCCGATGGCCGGCGACCAATGGCGGAGGGACGAAGGGAGGGTCCCCGACAGCAGGCGACTCATGGCGGGGGCCGGGGGTCCCCTGCGCCTCCGCGACTGGCTGGTGGCGCAGATCGAGAGCGGGCGCTACGCTGGGCTGCGCTGGGAGGACGCGGGCAAGACCCTCTTCCGCATCCCCTGGAAGCACGCAGCCAAGCAGGGCTACCAGGCGCAGCAGGACGCGGCGCTCTTCAGGGTAAGGATGCGCGGGCCGGGGGTCGCCGGCCCGGCCCGGGAGGGCTCTGCGCGCAAACGGTCGCAGAGTCCGGAACCGACCCGACATGCTGTCACCTCGGGCCACAGGTTAACCCCTCAACCTCAGCTGTCTCTAGGTTGAGGGTAGTGTTCTCTATACATGGGAGACCCTCCCACACCCTCTTAAAAGAGAATCAGACAAGGGCTGCATAACCTGCACCATCCCCACGCCTCAGGGGATCTCTCCTCCCTCCCCCTGAGCAAATTAGATGCCACCACCCCCGATGGAAATTCCCTCCACTTCCCACCCCTAAACTGTTAACCCCAGCAGCTTTGGGACATGTTCTGTGCTTTCCAACACCAGCCCTTCTCAGGGACCTCCTCCAGGGATGCCCTCCCTTTCCTTGGACACCATTAACTTCCTCCAAACTGGCTCTTTCCCACCAAGATTGAAACTGGAATCTCTCCCGTGAGCAATAAGCAACCAACCGCATCCCAGGCCACCGCCACCATCCCAAACACCACGTCTCCAGCTCCTGCTTCTCTGGCCTCCCCTCTCCTTTCACAGGGTGAAGCACCTAGAAAGGGTCTTCTGGACATCAACGCCCTCACTCATGCCCCCCCTCCGCCGGCTCCTCCCCGCCCCCACAGTGTGGTTCCTCTCCCTCCTGCTAACGTCTCTAATTGCCAAATCCAAGGATGCCATCACTATCATCTTCTTGGACCCCTGGGTGGGTTTGTGTCTAGTGGACCCTTCCTTCTCCTTGAAACAGTCTCACTTGGTTTCCAGGATCTGTGTCCCCTCCCCACTCCAACCCTGACCTGTTTTCCTGCTACCTTCCTGGACCCTGCTTCTCAGCCTCCATCCCATCCCCTCCTCTTTTGGGGCTCTCAGCACTCTCTCCTGGACCTCCCTCCTCACGTCCCACTCTCCCCTTCCACAGCCTCAGTGTGGAGCCCAACGTTTCCCAGCCTCCCAGCCAAGCCCCAAGCCTGCTGGTCTGACAGCCCAGACCTCTCAGACTCAGCACCTCCTTAATAGCACCCTCATCAGCTCCCTCCTACAAACGTCTGTATTTCCCAAAGTGGAAGATGGCACCCATCGCCACCTAGACCCCAGAGCTGGGCACCTGAACCCTGGCCGCTCCCCTCTCCTGCAGTCTCATTCTAATCCATTTCCAGGGCCTTCGGCTCTTACTGCAGAACTGCTCTTTCGTCAGTCTACGTGGACCCATTCCCACCATCTCTCACCAGGATAACTGAATGCCCTGCTTTCCCATCCCTCAGCTCTCCCCTCAGTCCTCCAGAGGGATATTTCTAAATGTAAATCTTGCCTTGGCACTCCCCTACTCAGAGTCCTTCCATGGCTCCCCATTGCTCTTGCGATAAAGTCCCAACTCCTTACCAAGACCTCAAAGCCCTGCATGAGCTGCTCCTCCCTGGCCTCTGTCCGTCTCTCTCCACTCCTTCCCCAACTTTAGACCCAGCCAGACAGTTCTTTCAGTCTCCAAATGCTTCCTGTCTCTCTCACCGTGAGAACTTTGTACATTCTGTTCCCCCTGCCTGGAGCTCCCTTTCTTCCTCACCTTCACTGGCCAACTCCCATCATGCTCAGCTTAAACATCTCTTACTAAAGACAAGCCTCCCCTGATGCATGCATTTGCTTAATGCATTTATGAAGCTCTCAGTGCTTCTCCCAAGTCGTCCCTGATTCCTTTTTCTTCCTCCATTGAACAGCTTTCCCTATGAATTATAAGTGCCTTGTATGAGTCTGACTCCTCCAGCTGCCCGTGGGTGGTGACCTTGAGCACAGTGCCTGGCCCACAGAGGACTGGTTCAGTAAGTGTTGAACAGGTGGTTACCTGGCCTGCCCCTTAAGGCTATGTGCCATTCAGAAGTGGGAGATTCTGGGGACTGGCCCTCCCTGTCCCTCTTTGGCACTGCTTTAACCCACCCCTCAACCCACCACTGACACACACATGTGACTCCCTGGCTTCAGGCCCCCCTGGTGCCTCAAAGTCCACGGGATAAAGCTTGGCCTTCGAGGACATTCATGATCCAGCTTCAACCTGTCTTCTTAATTCCTCTTCCCCTTCCCCCCACCACATACAGTTGATCCTCATTATTCACAGATTCCATATTTACAAATTCTCTTACTCGCTAAAATTATATGTAATCTCAAAATTGATATTCAAGGCACTTTTGCAGCCATTCACAGACATGCACAGGATGGCAAAAAAAAATTGTCACCAACATGCATGTTCCCAGCTGAGGCTGAGCAAGGTGACAACTCTTGTTTCACCTCTTCTACTGTAAACAGGTGTCCTTTCGCAGACAATATCTAGTCCACGTTTTTAATATTATTTTTGTGCTTTCTGTTGGTGATTTCACTGTTTAAAATGACCCCCAAGCTTACACAGTGTTGAAGCGCTGTCAGTATTCCTGAGCACAGGACGGCTGTGACGTCTGTAAGCTTCTTTCAGACGTGAGTTACAGTGTTGTTGGCCATGAGTTCACTGTTAATGAATGAACAGTTTATATTAAGTAAGGTGTCCTTCAGCAGAAACACTCAAAGAACAAGGTTATGTATTGACCAGTTGATGAAAATGCGGTGACCAGAGGCGCGCAGGAACCTAGCCTTGTATTTTCCTTAGGAGTGATGGTTCGGTGTTTGCTAACTCAGTGGTTGTGTAAATTTTATAGAACACAACTACCATGAATAACAAGAATCAACAGTACACATACCCTCAGACACGCACATCAGCTCCAGTCACACCAGGCTGCCCACTGTCCCCTGCGTGCATCATGCGCTTCCATGCCTTTGCTCAAGCTCTTCCCCCTGCCGGGAACATCACTCCACCTGGCAACTTCCTATTTATCCTTCGAGGCCCAATTTGATTCATTCAACAAATATTTATTGAGCATCTCCTGTGTGCCAGGCACCACTTTAAATGCTTAGGGGCACAGCAGTGTCCCCAAAGATTCCTCTCTCATCATGGTGATAACACCCTGTGCCTTGAGCCCAGGTTACCTTTGAGTTAGAGCATCCTTAACATAATGAGTAAGTACTGCAATAAATAAGCACTGTGTGCCAGGTGCTGTGCTAAGCACATTACATAGACCGCTCATCTTACACTTGCCACAACCAGGTGAGGTTAGGTACTATTGGCACAGTTTACAGACAACAAAATCGAGCCTTAAAGGTCTCACCACTGGCAAGAGACACCAACAAAGGAACTGTGGCTTTTCAGTCTGGTGTCCCACTAAGCCTGGGGTCTCCAAGAGCAATGACTGAATGTGATTTATCAGTTAAATCCCCCGCCCCCCATCCCTGAAAGTGAGCAATGCGAACAAGACATCTCCTACTGTCCTCCCCTTTGACTACTGTGCTCCAGCCTCACTGGCCTTCCTTGAATCTCTCCTACCCCAGGACCTCTGCGCTTGCTGTTCCTTCTACCTAGTACAGCCTTCCCCCTGATCTTTGTCCGACTCCATCCTTCTTTTCAATCAGGCTTCAGCCCAAATGCCACTTCCTCCGAGAGGCCTTTTCTGATCACCCTCTCTAAAGCAGCCCCTCATATTATGTATTTATTTATTTAGTCCCTCTACCACAACAGTCATTCTAATGTGTTTAATGAGTATCTTTGGTTTGCATGTTTTCTTGCAAAGTGGGCATTGCTGTTTTGTGTGTATTCTTACCTTATATACATCATAATTGTGTCATAGATCTCAACCTGTGTCTTACTTTTATTTCACTCAAGGTCATGCTCTGAAGATCTGTTCTTGTTCTCTCTCCATCTAATTTGTTTCTAGATGCTGCATAGACTCTATAGTGGGCATCTATTACACGCACTCCCCCACCTACTTTCCCAGGGATGGACACAAGTTTGCTTTCCAGACCACAAATAACGCTGCAGTGGATCTGCTTGCTCTGGTCCCCTCGTGAGCCTATGTGAGAATTCCTTTGGAATTGGAATTTCTGCTCACAGGGTATGCTTATACTTAATTGGACTAGGCATGCCTGATTGCCCTCCAGAAACTCTGCTCCCATTCCATGCCCACCAACAGTGTCCACATCCCAATCAACTACTGGCTTATCCAACTGGCTAAATTTTGTAAGCTTACAGGTGATATCGCATACTTTTATTTGCATTTCTCTGGCACTAATGAGTTTCAGTACCTTCTCCTATGCTCATGGGCTTCTGGTTTCCTCTTCTGTAAACCACCCACTCTTGTCCTTTGACAAGAATTTTTCTTTAGGGGATGCTTTCTGTTTCTTATTGATTTGCAGAAGTTCCTGTATGTTCTAGATCTTAGCCCCTTGCTGATTTCAGACATTGCAATTTTTTTGCCTTATGGTTCATGCCTTTAAAATTTTGGTTAAGAAGCATTCTCTGCCCCTAGAAGATTTTCTCCTACATTATTTCCTATTAAGTTTATAGTCTTACCTCTTACTTTTGGTTTTTTAATCATATCCCATCGTATTATTTTTTTTATTTATCACAATCCATAATTTGGAATGTACTTATTTCCTTTCAGCTGTTTGTGGCTGCCTCCTCCCATTAGACTTGAGTTCCTTGAGAACAGGGATCATGTATGTCTTGTTGTTCCCCCATTTAGTCCTTAACTTGGGCCTGGCACATAGCAGGAGCTCAAGGAATATGTGTTGGATGGAGGGAGGGAGGAAGAGAAGGAAGGAGGGAGGGGCCGAGGGACAGAGGGAGAGAGAGAGAAGGGTGGGAGGCAAGGCAGCCCTCATCCCTTTCCATGGCACCATCCCCATCTCCCATGCTATTCCTCCGCCAATGCCCCAGCTCACCCCCAGGCCTGGGCCATATACAAGGGCAAGCACCTAGAGGGCGTTGACAAGGAGGACCCCTCCACCTGGAAGACACGGCTCCGCTGTGCCCTCAACAAGAGCGCTGACTTCTGTGAGGTGCGCTCGCTCAACCAGCTGGACATCTCCAACCCCTACAAGGTCTACCGGCTCCTGTCTGACGGTGCCCACAGCCCAGGTACCATCCTGTCTCTGGAGGCAGCAGCTGAGGATGGCTCTCTGGGCAATAAGGACCTCACATTGCCCATCTGTAAAATGGGAAATGGTGGGCTTATTGAGCTTAAACTCATGGGCTGGTAAACCTAGAAGGACCTTACAGTTTATCTCCCCATTCGAAAAGGAGGAAACTGAGCCCAGAGAGAGGTGGGCCTTGCCTGAGATCATGCAGTGAGCTGGGTTACTCTGGTCTGGGCTCACCTCAGACAAGGTTGGGGGGTTCCCCTTGGGGCCCAGGAAACCACAGACTGTTTCTTCCTTCATCCAGTTACCAGGGCTTGTGCCCCCTGTAAAGAGGAGGGCATTCTTCATAGCCAGCAGGTGCACCCTGGAGAAGTGACAGAGCCGGCCTGCAAGACAGAAGAGCAGGTCAGCGAGTCCTTCCAGCCCCTACAACCTTGCTAGCCCAGTCACCTCGCACTCATACCACCCCCTGTATAATCTCCAGCGCATTCATCTCATCCTCTCCATCAGCTCCTGCCCATCTCTGTTCCCATCCATCAGCTCTACTTCCTGCCGCTACTCCATCTCTGCCATCATTTTCATCTCCTTCATTCTATTCTCCTCGACTCCATCATTTCTGTCCCATCGTCTCCACCATCTTCACCTCCATCACTCTGTCTGCGCCAGCCCTATTTTCTCCCATTTCAGCCCCTCTTCCCTGTCATCATGGGATCAATCACTCTGTCCCCACTCATCCCATCAGATCCAGTTCCATCACTGTATTCCCTTCACCTGCATCACCTCTAGCTCTCATTGTTGCCATCACCCCTATCATCTCTATCTCCATCACTGTCTGTATCACTCTTACTCCACCCAATCACCTCTCCCCCTTCATCTGCAGTTCATTCCTCTGTTCCCATCTCCCCATTAGCCTGGTTCATTCCACTGTCCCAAGTGCCCCCATTCCATTACTCTATCACCCCATCTCCTCATTCACTGCTAGCACTTTTCTCTCCCCATCACAATGAGCTTCACCTCCAAAAACCCCATCAACTCTCTCTTTAACTCTACGGGGTAAACTTCAAAGTCCCTATCAAGCCCGGCTGGCTTTCAGTCTGTCCAGACCTCCCCCTGCCCCAGTTTAGACTGTCTGGGAGCTCCTGTGGCCCACAGGTCTCCTCTTCCACCCTCACGACGCTTTCTCCCGATGCTCAGGTTGGCTCCAGATTAGTCACAGAGGATAAAGACAAGGAGCAGCCCCCGAGGCTGGCCTCCCTGCCCCCAGGCCCTTTGGCTGGCCACAGTAAGGACTGGGTCTCCTCACCCACCCCTGCCTCCTCCCCGGCCTCTTCCAGGACCTTGATCTAGGGGTCGAGGGACCCAGGGTGAGGCGATGCCTTACTGCTTCCCCTCCTTCTCCAGGGTACCAGGCTCAGGATCCTGCTCACCCCTGGGGCCCCTCACCTTCTGAGGACTTCAGCAACCCCGGTAAGGAATCCGAAGGCCCTCTCCCCTGACCACTGTGCAGAACTGGGGAGGATCTAGGGTTGGTGCCAAATAGCCTCTGTCTCCCACCCAAAGCACCCAGCCCAGACTCCAGATAACAGCAGCTAACATTTGTTGAGGGCTTAGCTTATACCAGGCATCCTAAGTCTCCCCACAGCCCTGTGAGATAGATACTGCCATTCTCCCCATTTTACGGTTGCAGAAACCAGACACAGAGGTTAAGAACCCTGCCCAAGGTCACACAGTTAGTCACCCTGGGAAAGTTACTATCAGATCACAGCTCCTCAGGGGCAGTGAGAGATTAGAACCCAAGGGCCTCGCTGTAGAGCCCACAGCCCTAACCACTGAGCATACTGCTAGCTCTTCATATGGGAGGCTGCTGTTTTGTTGTCGTTGTTGCTATTATTATTATTATTATTTCTACCGGCATTAAAAATATTTGCCGGGAAGAAACTCCTAGAATCCCAGAAATTCGGGCTGGGAGAGCGTCAGTGTCATGCCCCCATTGTACTGATGGCCCCAGACCCTATGCTTTTGAAGCTCAACTACCAGTTTGTTTATACTGGAAGCTGCTATTATTTACTACCACCGCTACTACTAGAATTACTATTATTACTTATCGGGAGGGAGTGTCAAAAATTCCCGAGGTGGCGGCCGGGTGTCCTCTGGGTTCCCTGCCCTGTTGTGAGGGGAGGGGGAGCCGGCGCCGCCAATGCCGGGCGCGCGTCCCCTCCCTTTCCCGCAGATTTTTGGCTGCACGTGCGACTCTTCTATGGCGCGGAGCTGGTGCGCGAAGCCACAGCGCGCGCGGCCGAGGGCTGCAGCCTGAGTCCGCGCGCAGCCGCCGCTGCCGCCGAGCTCCTGCTGGGGCCGCCGCCGCGCGTCGCGCAGGTTCGTTTCCCGGAGCCGCCACCCGGCGCCCGCGTCCTGCGGCGCCTGCTGTCCCACCTGGAGCGCGGAGTGCTGCTCTGGGTGGCGCCCGAGGGCGTCTTCGCCAAGCGCCTGTGCCGGGGCCGTGTGTACTGGCGCGGCCCGCTCGCTCCGCACCGCGCGCGGCCCAACAAACTGGAGCGAGAGCTCACCTGCCAGCTCCTCGACACGCGCCGCTTCCTCGCGGGTAAGAGCGCGACAGCGGGGCCGCTGGCGGCGCGGGGCGGAGTGGCCGGGCACTGGGGTCGGCAAAGGAACGCGGACAGAGAGTGGGCACACGAGATGTGGGTGCGGGGCGATGGACTTGACGATGCTGGGCTGGAGTGGGCATGGAAACTAAGGACATGACGCAGAAGCACCGAGAGTGGGAACGAATATGGGCATCGGGAGGGCTGGGCACAGATTAGACATAGGCGTATGGGAGGTGTAGGCACGAGGCAGGCTGGGGAACTGGGTGTGGGACATAAGCATAGGGCTTGGGCACGTGTTGTCATAGGGCGTTAAGCATAGGGTGGGCATCGGGGGCACTGGGCACAAGATAGGCATAGGTGAGTGGCAGTGGGCATGGGGTGGGCATAAAGGCATGATAGTGAGCATAGGGCACGAGGCACGGGGCATGAAACCTAGAAGTGGGAGCAGATGTGGGACATGAGGCAGGTGTGGGGACGTGGAAGTGGGCATAGGGCATGGGCACACAATGGGGATGTGGGCTTACGGGACGTGTGGATAGTATGTGAGCACAAGGTGGGCACCAGGTGGGACGCCCCATCTTGACCCAGACCCCACAGTCTCGGTGCCCGTAGAACTGAGAGCCCACCTGCATGATGGTCACCGGGAGCCCGAGTACCAGATCCGGCTGTGCTTTGGCGAAGAGTACCCGGGGCCCCCGGACCAGCCTGAGGAGCGTCTCATTATGGCCCATGTGAGTCACCTCCCATGGAGAACCACACCCTCCAGCCTCCCCCAACTGCCTCTCACTGCTCCATCCAGTCCCAGCTCCGCCCCGGACCTGCCTTACGACCCTCTGATCTGGAAGACCTTGCGTGTAAAATGCATGTGGAGAGGAGCTGTCACTCCCGCCCCCCCACCCCAACAAAGGGTGTGGGTAAAGGGGAAGGTTGGCTCATTGCCCCACCCCCACCCCGCAGGTGGAGCCAGTCTTCGCGCGGGAGCTCCTCCTACACTCGAAGCTCCACGGCCAGGTGCCTCGGTGGCGCGTTCCCAGCCCCGCATCCCCGACAGCGTCGCTCACCTGCTGACACAGCTGAGTCAGCCCTGAGCGGTTGTTTCCCCCTCCCCCCCCCTCTAAAGTAGTCCCCACAGGGTGCAGTTCCCACCCCAGCCCTGCCCCAGCTGAGCCAGGGGACTTTACGTCTCGCCTCACTCATCGCCCAGGTAGGTTGAGACAGCGGAAGCCAGTCACGGCTTTCAACCTCTCAGCCAGTGAGATGGAGCCCCGGCAACCCAGGAAGGAGGCACGTAAGCGGACAGCCCGGCAGCTGGGCCTGGGGCGTCAGGCTTGGGAACCAAACTCGGCCTGAGGTTCCAGAAATAGCAATTAGGTCAGAAACAAGAATTCATCTTTTTGTGAATAGCCGGACATGCCCATAGCGGTTTACCTAAAGCAGCCTTTACCTGCAATTGATCCATTATAAGGTTTGCTTAAAGCTGAGTTTACTGGGAGTTCCCTGGTGGTCCAGTGGTTGGGACTCTGTGCTTCCGCTGCTGGGGTCCAGGTTCGAGGGATCCCTCGTGGGGGAACTAAGATCCCGCAAGCCCCCAGGTGCAGCCAAAAAAAAAGGGGGGAGCTGAGTTTACCAATAATAAGATCCTCCACATAGTTTAGACTGAAGCCCAACCAGTAACAGAATTGCCCCACCTCTGAGGGGCTGTGAGTTTCCAGACCCTCCTTTCACCTGCCACAAGTCTCTCTTCTTTTGGGGTGGGTGAGGATTGTGAGGGGAGGGGGTCCCAAAACAGAGGACTTAGCCTGAACCTGGGGCTTTAAATGCTAACCACTGAACCCCCACCAGTAGATACTGTCTTTGGAGAAACTGAGGCAGGCCTAGGACAGAAGCCAAAGTGGGAGCCAGGAGTCCAGCCCCTGCCCAAGCCCCACCAATCTTTGCAAACTGTAAGTTGCAGGGAGTCCTTGAGAATTGTGAGGGCACCCTCTCCACCATGAAGGCAGTGACCCTGCCTTGTCAGTAAAGTCACTGTTTTCTACCCCAGATATCAGACCTTTTACCTTTTCTGATTTCTGACGTTATTTATAGGAATTCTCTTACAGATGGCAACATAATATATCTTTTAGTGATACATTAATAAGCCACTTTTATGGGGGGAAACCTGTATGATTCAATAAAGGACAGAATCAGTCGAATCACTGGTTTTAAAATTCATTCAACGAATGTTTATTGAGCACCTACTCTGTTCCAGGCAGATTCTGGACACTTGGGATAGAGCAAAGCATGGTTCCCTATTCCCTTGAGGGTCACAGCCAGTTTTCCAGTGGGGGCCCAGTGACAGTCCTCTACCCCTGCCCCTCACGGAAGGAGTAGTGTTAGGAGTTACAGAATTCTGGGTTGAAATCACAGCTTTGTCACTGACTAGCTGTGCCACCTCAGGCAAGTCACTTAACTACTCTGAACCTCACATTCCTCATCTACTCAAAAGAAGCTATCAGGGTCTCTGGAGCAGAGTAGGTCTGAGAAGTAAATGTCGAGAGGGGAGGGGAGCTGGCCTGGCATGGAGAGTGGCACACAGTAGGGGCCTGATGACTTGGTTACTTGTGGGTGGGAGAGTGTGGAGGAGGTTGCCGCATCCTTCAGAAGGCTTGACTGTTCTGGACTTCGCTGTACCCTCGGCCCAAGGCTGCAGCTATTGGGGAGCCTCAGCTCAGGGTAACAGTCTTCATCATGCCCAAACCCCTACTCTGTGCCAGGCTCTCAAAGGGCGCTGGATTCAGTGTAAGGGAGCCCGTTGCCTCTCCACCACAGCCCGGACAGCTGCAGAGTCTTCAGCTCCGTTTTAGAGATGGGAAATGGAGGCTCAGCCAGGGTCTTGGTTGAGAGCCTCTTGGGAGGGTGGATGGCTCTGTCCAGATGTCTGTCCTCCCCACACTAGTCACTAGAGGGCGCCAGGGCTCAGCAAACGGGGTTGGGCCGGCCCTCGTCCCCACCCTAGGTGCCCCACCCCTCGTAGACCCCAGAGCTAGATGGGCAGGGAATAGTGTGACCTCGAGTGCTCTGCACTGTGGGGAGAAGAGAGTAGACCCCAGGCCTGGGAGGAGGAAGAGAAAAGAAAGGGGGAACCAGAGGTGGGGACTCGAGAGGCCCCTGAGGCTTTTCTCACAGGAACTCCCTGTTCTCCAGCTCAGACACAGATGCTACCTCTCTCCTCTCTCATTAATGTGTGTGTGTGTGTGTGTGTGCGCTCTTCTTCTCTATCTTTGTGGATTCCTTTCTTTCTCTCATTCAGTGATTCTTTTTCTGTACTCTGTGTGCACGTGTGCACGTGCGTGGGGCTGGCTCTCTGTGTCTCCCTTTTTTCTGTCTCTTTCTGCTCTTTGTCTCTCTTTAAGTCTCTGCCTCTATATCCTCTGTATGTTCCTGTCTCCCTCTTATTATGCCCTTACCTCTCTTTGTCTCTGTCTCTCTGTCTCTTTTCACTCTCTCTTTCCATCTCGGCCTCTATCTCTCTTTGTTTCGTCCCTGTCTCGCTCAGTTTCACATCCTGTCCCTCCTCAGCCACCACCAGCCAGCACATGTGGGCTAAGGGTCTCAGTCCCTTCCCTCCTGTCTCCTCACCCCTGGCAGCTGCTCACGGCTTCCCAATCCTGGCCTCTCCTGCCCGCCCCTCTTGGGCCTTGTGGGAGGGGGGCGAGGGAAGAAGGGAGGGCAGCCTGGCGGGCCCACCCCTTTTTGCCTTTCCAGGCTGGGAGGCTGGGCCAGTGGGCCTTTTAACCAGCCTGGGCAGGCTGTGCCGGACACCAGCCCTGGACACCGTGCCTGGCCCCCGTGGTTCCGGCAGCCGCCAGCCTGGCCAGCCCGGTCAGCATGCAGCAGCAGCCCCCCCCCGGGACCCTGGCCCCTGCGGCCGAGCCGACCAAGCCTCCCTACAGCTACATCGCCCTGATTGCCATGGCCATCCAGAGCTCACCGGGGCAGCGGGCCACGCTCAGTGGCATCTACCGCTACATTATGGGCCGCTTCGCCTTCTACCGCCACAACCGGCCCGGCTGGCAGAACAGCATCCGCCACAACCTGTCCCTCAACGAGTGCTTTGTCAAGGTGCCCCGTGATGATCGCAAACCGGGCAAGGGCAGCTACTGGACGCTGGACCCCGACTGCCATGACATGTTCGAGCACGGCAGCTTCCTGCGCCGACGCCGGCGCTTCACCCGACGGGCAGGCGCCGAGGGAGCCAAGGGCCCTGCCAAGGTGCGCCGCAGACCCCTCCGAGCCACCAGCCAGGACCTAGGAGCCCCTGACGCTGCGACTGGCATGCAATGCCCATTCCCACTGGAGCCGCCAGAGCCCAAGGGCCTAAGCTTTGGGGGTCTGGTGGGGGCCTTGCCAGCCAGTGTGTGCCCGGCCACCACCAATGCCAGGCCTTGGCCACCCTCGGAGCCCAAGGAGATGCCCACGCCCAAGCCTGCAGGTCCAGGGGAGCTCCCCGTGGCCACCTCATCTTCCCCGAGCCCCGCATTTGGCTTTCCTGCCAGCTTCTCTGAGGCTGAGGGGTTTAGCAAGGCCCCTGCCCCCATCTTGACCTCTGAGGCCACCATCGGGGGAAGCTACCAGTGCCGGCTGCAGGCGCTGAATTTCTGCATGGGGACTGATCCTGGCCTTGAGCACCTCTTGGCCTCAGCAGCCTCCTCCCCTGCACCACCCACCCCTCCAGCCTCTCTCCGGGCCCCGCTGCCCCTGCCAGCTGACCCCAAGGAACCCTGGGTTGCAGGCAGCTTCCCTGTCCAGGGAAGCTCCGGCTACCCACTGGGGCTGACCTCCTGCCTATACCGGACGCCAGGAATGTTCTTCTTTGAGTGAAGCCAGCCGGCCTCAGGCAGTCCCTGCAGAGACTCTGCCAGCTACGCCCTCCAGGTTGAGCCTGACTCTAGGACCTGGGGAGCTCTCAAAGGACGCAGGCCTGGCAAGCCCACAACAGCCGGGACAGGAAGCCAAGATTGGAGTGGTGAACACTCAGCCAGCGCCCAGGGTCTCTGGACAGACTTGGGGGTGAGGGGAAGCAGGGCTCCCTTGGGATTTACTCTATGGCTCTCAGGGCCAATAAAGCCAGTGTGATGTTGAGGGTCAGTTTGCTGGATGGTTGGGGACTGAGGGCCAGGACACCTGGCTCCGTGGGGGGGCGTATGGTTGTGGGGTGGTATGGCAGGGATGGGGGACCCCAGATAGAAATGTCTCACATGAGGCTTTCTCCTGCTGGGGACTTTCTCAGGGAGTTTCCCAGGAAGGCCGAGGAAGGGGGAGCAGGGAGTGGGAGAGAGGAGGGATGCAACCGGGAGAGACACCAGGCAGGAGTGTGGCTGCGCTGGACCAAGGGGCTGATTCTCCAGCCCCAAACTCTGTAACTCAGCACCTCTCATTATGAGCAGCCACAATAACTGTGACCATTTGTGGCAGTTATCCTGTCCTGGACTCGTATATATCCTTTCACGGAATCCTGGGTGGTACGGAATGTTATCTCCATTTAACAGTGGTGGAAACTGAGGCTCAAAGAAGTTGGGGGCTCACTAGCTCCGGCTCCAAATGACCAATGAGTGCCAGAGAGGAAATCAAAACCAGGTCTGTGTGGCTCTACCCCCTCTGCCCCTACCTGCAGTTTGCGTGAGGATGCAGCGTGGCCCACAGGGTGACCCCTCCCCCCAGAGGGAGGCGGGCTTTTTTTGAATCCTGTCATGCCAGGGCTAAAAAGCCACCCCTCACCCCTTGCACAGACAGGGAACCCAAGGTTCAAAAGGCAGGCACACTTCCCTTTTCTGGATTTCCCGTGTGACTGGGAGACCTCCCTGAGCCCCCAGCTCTCTGAGGTCTCCTGGTGACTCTTTGAGAAAGCATTTCCCTCATGGGGGGAGGCGGTGGCTACCCTGGGTACAGATTAGAAGAGACTGAGCCTTGACCTTTGGCCTTCTGTAGTTGCCCCCTTGGGTGGAAGCAGGAGAAGTGGGTATAGTCGTGGCCCCCATCAGAGGAACAACTTAGGGACCTGAAACCTCACTGTCCCCATACCCTCCAAC